CATTATCCCTGTATATTCAATGAATTCCAGAAGAATCTTGAGGGGAGTTCGCATGATCTAGTCTGGTGGAATTTCATCCCCTCCCAGGAGTCTTCGTCTACCTGTTGCATATGACGTGCAGTGACACATAACATGCAGAGTAGTTTCTTCCTCTAATTCGCAACCCCTGCAGGTCGGTTGATCCCTCAGTCCCATCCTGAAGAGGTGTTTTTTGCAGGGGGCGTGTCCTATTAAAAAGGCCACTATCCTGCTTATTTTTTGCCTGCTGAGATCTAGCAGTTCTTTTTTGCGCTGCCCTAACTTGGGCATGAGATATACCGCAAGCAGGTTCTTGGTTGGTCAGTCGTTTCTCGGTCCCTGCCTTAGCAAGTTCCGCAGCAATCTCGTTTTCTTTGTTCCTGTTCGTACCAGTTGCCCAAGTGAGTTTTACTCTGTTTGAGCTCCCGGCCAGGGTTGTAAGTTCTTTTACACAATCTAGCACACATTGTGACCTGCTTGTGTACGATTCTAATGCCTTTATTGTGGCTTCATCTCCGGTTACGATGGTAATGTGCTTACGTGTGTAGGCTCTTTCCTTCATTTTCCCGGCGCAATTTGTTATTGCTAGGATGTCAGCCTCTGAACTTTGTTCAGGGACTGTCGATATGTGCTGATTTTGGTTCTATGCCACCATATGACGGCGGAATATGTGATTATGGGTATCACAATGGTGACGTACGTCCAGTACACCATCTTCGGTGAAATTCCCCATGTTTTTCCAAAAGCGCGTTTGCAGGTCCATAAAGCCCTGATCACCATGTTTGTTTTCTGTTCCACATGTTCTTTAAACAACAGCTTCTTATCCAGGGTTACCCCCAAGATATTTGACAGTGTCAGACATGTGTATATTGTTCCCACATATAGACATTTGTCTTAGAACTCTAAGATCTCTCTTCCTTGTGAAAGCGATTATAGATGTCTTGGATGGGCTAATTTTCAGCCCTTCTGTGTTACACCATTGTTCGGTGATGTTTAGCGCCTGCTGCATCAATGATGATACAGTG